GAGAAAAAAATGAATTTGAACAATTGTAGTATCAGGCTGCAACATAACAAAATTGAAAAAGTGAAGGGGGTCTGAATACTTTCTGAATGCACTGTACAAACCACAATACTATATTCATACAACTTATAAGCCAAAAAGAAACAAACCACATTATCACATAATGCAGTGTACAGAACCCAGGTTTTATTGTCTGAAAGTGGTTTTGAAACATATATTTTTTAGAATGTATACAAATTCATCAATTAACTATAAATAAAGCGGTTTTAGTGATCAAGCAAAAATATGTTTGTTTTACAACTGGGTTTGTAAGCTGGCTACTTGGAAGTATCCTATGATAGAAAAAGCAGGATGAAATTAAATAAAACAAAAAGGGATATAGTACCATTTTATTTATTCACATCCATCTCTATTCCTCTAAAATATTTTACTGCATTTCTGGATATAGAAGTTACAAGGCTGAACAAAGTATTGCATATGAGGGTTTTTCCAGAAATTTGTTATTTTTATTCTTCTAATTTTTCCTTTTGTCACCTGTTATCAAGTTATGGGTCTGTTTATTTTGTAAGTACTTTAATGACTCTGCATATAGTTAATTCTGGTCTGCGACTGTAATAAAGATGATATTCTCTGCATATAGTACCTTCTGAAATAATTAATTGGCTCTGAAGCATATTCACTTGCAAATATACAGGGCTATATCTGCTCACTATCCCACCACATTCAATTTTATAATAATGCTTCTATTCTGATTTTCATCTGGTGGCACACATGGAAGTCCCCTCTCAATCCTGCAAGGTACCTGGATTGAGTGAAAGGAATGGGCAAAAAATTACTCTCTGAACTTCCTGATTATAGGAGAATTGGGGTCTCCTTAGTCTCTCCCTACCTTTTTAATACCTTCACAATTATGTTATGTGGATTCTCAATTACTATGTAGTTATTAAAAACTAGAGCTGATAGCTGGAGAACTTTAATTATTGGATTACCTGCTGGTCCTCTACAACAATACTTATTGTTCTTACAGAAGGACAGGAAAGTGTACTGAATACAGCCCTGAAAGTAATCTGAGAAAGCTGGTGACACTTCATAAATTACTGGGAATGTAAGATTATAAAATATGAAACTCTAGAACATAAAAGTCATATTGCATACATATTAGGCTATAAAATTTAGGTGACATCAAACTGCCTGATTTTTCTGCCCATTTTCAGTAGAAAACTGTTTAGCTAAGAGTTTCACTAAACCCCACTGTCAGCCATGATGCTCCCGCAAAGACAAAATCATTTGAAAGTATTAACAGGCTGCACAGGGATTATAATGATAGATGACAATAAATATGTATGCATCCCAAACTTGAAGCTCCTTTAGAAACTGTCCATCTTCTAACCTGACAGTGCAAACTTCCAACATGCTAAACTCATGTAAGACTCATTCCCACTCAGGGAGCAGGAAAGGATGAGGCACTTCATATGTCAAACAGCAAAACATCAGAATCTCAAAGATTCTTTAGAGGGCAAATGCTTATTAAGACAATATACATTTGTAGTATGAACTTAATGCCTATTGATATCATTTATAGTTAAAAACTCACCAGCAGTTAAACCATAAATCCAAAAAGCAGGGTAAACTGGATTTGTTGTATTGATTTGAAACTTGTGTAAGCATGTTTCTTTATCAGTAAGAGAATAAAAAGACAAACTTTTTGTTGGAAAGTCAAGGAAAACTCCAACCCGCAAAGGTTTCTCTTCATTAATTCTTGTTTCTTGATTGTTGTGCCATGCTGAGATACATTGGGCTTTCCATTCTATGCACCAGGATAGTTCATTTCTCCCTAGTTGGTCTTTTCTGCCAATTTCCCCACTGGCAACACCAATGGCCCATCCAGAAGATTCCTTGGTATTTACTTCCCAGTAATGGCAGCCTTCAGAGAAACTTTGGGAACCCAGCACCTGACTGTTGCAGAATCTCTTATGGGAACGTTCATATTCATTGCGAACACGAGACACTGTCACTTTCCTTTTATTGCTTGTGAGCTGAAGCATGCAACCAAGTCTTTCATCATCAAATGTAATGTCGGATATCCCTAAATGAAATAAAATTAAAAATGTACTGATCTGGGAGCCTTAAATCAAGAGAGATTTTCACAGACCAAAATCCATTTTCTCTACTTGCAACGTTTTTGCCTTTCTTCCAATGAGTCTGCATAATGCAGCTTACTTCAACCAGTGAGGTGAAATTGGGGCAGGTAAATATATAGTATGATAACCACAACATACAATAAGCAAGCTTATAGGATATTAAGATTGCCTGATCATATTGGACTTGGTTGCATGCTTCAGCTCACAAGCAATAAAAGGAAAGTGACAGTGTTATTGGATATATTAATATGCTGGGTGTTGCCCAGCATATTAATATATCCAATATGATCAGGCAATCTTAATATCCTATAAACTTGCTTATGACTGTCATATCCAACAACAGTTTTGTGAATAGCCTTATATATATTCAATTACTCCATCAGCACTCTTACATTATATTTTCCTCTTGGGAAAATACAATGGGCATTAGAAGAAATGGACTGTACTTGACAAACATTCCAGCTTTTCCCAACCTGGGGTCTTCCAAATGTGTGGACTTCAGCTTCCCAAGTTCCCCAGTCTCCATGGCTATTGTAAGGAGCCATGGAGATGACCCTGAAGGAACTATCCAGAAGCCATTAAAAATCCAGAAGCAAGTTGCAAGTCTGCTTGTGTTTTCCCATCCCTCCCTCTTATCCCCAGGGAGTTGGGGGGAGCCAGTCTAAGTCTCTTTCTAATACCTTCCCACTTCCCTAGGATTGATATTAGCCATATGAGGTAGACCAGATCAAGAAACTGACTCCACAGGAAGACTATTTCTTCCTGACTCCTTGGACTCAACACATGGTTCTGCATCTGTTGTCTTAATGGCTTTTGAATAGTTTCTCCAAGATCACCTCCATGGTTCCCTATACCATTGAGCCAAATGTTTTGGGAGGGGGGCATTGCCCAGGTTGAGAAAATTTGTCTTATTTTGTAATAAAGACATTAATTTTTAAGGCTCCCCTTTTCATCTGAGGAGGTAGAAGAGAGATACGTCTTTTGATTACAATTAGGATCCTTAAAAGATGTAGTGGACAAAGCACCCATTTGTGTCAGTATATTAAAGAAACAGTCAAAATCCTGTAGCAGATCAGCTAGTTTTGTTTTCAGTAAAATAAATAAATAGTCAGGTATGTAGAAGGAGAATAAAAAAGGAATAAAACACTGGATATGTAGCTTTGTTAACTACTTGTCCATGCCATTTTCATTTGTTTTATTATTTACAAGAATATGTTAAGTCATAAATCAAAAGCAAAGTGTTTGCTCTATGGACTATGGAATAAAGAATGGTGGATGCCATTTACTTCAACTTATTTCAGGTCAAATTGAGATTTTTGGGGAAAACGTGGAGGGGTACCAATATTTTGTCCATGTTGAGAGTTCTGGGAATGATTCTAAATTAGGGAAAGTGTGCATTCTCAAGATAACCATCTGATATTTCTCCAGCAGAGAAATAATTTGTTATAAGATAATGGTCCACACAATTTTGGAAAACTTACTGCCATTCCCAAATGCTATGTAACTAAAAAAATTATTGTCTAAGACCTCTGAAAGCTAACCACTTTTTTTTCATTAATACTAGTAAATTTATGTATTAAATTTTATATAGCGTTGCTTCTAAAGAAAGCAAAATAAAATTTTGTACTCTTAAACGGAATATAAATTATCTCTTTAAGAAAACATAGGTTTTAAATTCCAATTTAACAGCTGGTTTTCAAATTATTTTTGAAAGTGAAAGTTTGAATGTTTCATCTATACATCTCAATGTCACTATTTTATATATGCATCAATGTATATACTTACACTGAGAAAACCTATTTGAAATCAGCAATTCTCTGTCCCTAGTAGATGGCACTGCTGATGAAGAGCTGCTTGCTTCCTGAACTGAATCTTGGGATAACACTAATCAAGGAAAAAATATAAAGAGAGTTTCCTTGTTAAATTTTAGTTGAATTGGTTTCAAGAAGAGATATTTAACTTATAACAGGGAGATTCTGCCAGCTAACTTCATGGTTGTGTTGATACCGACAGTTTAAGATCTCTTGGCTGCATTTATATTATATTTAATTTTTGTACTGTTTTTGATGTTGATCGTTTTTATTGTTGTTAGCTGCCCAGAGTCACTGGTCTGAAATGGGCGGCTATACAAATTGAATTAAATAAATAAATAAATAAATAAATAAAATAAATAAATAAATAAATACATAAATAAATAGCTATTCCAGAACCGTTCCCTGGGACTATAAAATTTTTCCATTTCTTGCAAAGTTTTGCAACTCATATTAACTTAAATAGAGGTGGACAACATGCTACCCATGGTTACTGCCCTTGGCACACATCAGGATTCCCTCCCCAGCTGCACTTTTATTACTTTAATTACAAAAAAAGATTAAATGAGAAGCTGGCATCCTGCTAGGTGCCAGTCTCTAGTATCATTTTTATTTCCATTCAATGTCACATAGCTCCCACAGGCAGTCTTAGAAAATTTAAAAAAACAAAAACAAAAAATACTTTTTGCCTTTTTATGAGCAGGAATAATCTAGATGGTGTTTTTCATCCCTGCCAACTGGAGACTGGTAGTGCAGGTTCCAACCATAGGACCTGGTGATGGATTCCATGATATCACATCTTGAGAGACCCCCCAAAGGGCTACCCGTATTTATCGGCCTATAAGACGCACAGGTGTATAACATGCGTCTTAATTTTAAGAAGGAAGTTTGAGTAAAAAACCTTAAATTTAAAATAAATGACTTGGAAGCAAAATAAAGGGAG